TATATATATATATATATATATATATATATATTCAGAAACACACACAAACACATCCAAACACAGAGAAGGTGAATCATTTGGAATAAAATAGGGGTAATAAACGCACCTAGGGTTACAGAGAAACAACATTATTAACTGCCCATAGCACGCCGCCTCCAGCGTCTCACCTGCGAAAACGCATGAAATTGAAGTGCAATTGAGCAGTTCAGGAAGGAGAAAGAAGGCGATGAAGTCGCGAGGAGCAGAAGCTTCGGCCGAGGAAGTTACAGATCTATTACCCTTCCGGTTACGTGGCAGCTGAGTGAGCAAAATTTAATCCATCTTAGCAGCCTAGTCAGTGAACACGTGTCAACCCCACAACTAAAAAACCCTACTTTATATATATATATATGATACCTAGCCAATATAATTCTTAAAATTTTCTATAGTTCATGTATAATGGTTCAATTCACCCACCTCTCCTAAACAAAAATCAAGTATTTCTAATGAATCAGTATGATGTGTTATTATTCATGGAACAATACCTCTGTTATGTTTCCTATGTAAGTGTGATGATTGGTGATTTTATTTTAAACATTGAAAAAAGAGCTAAATATTTTTTTTTTTAATTTTTTTTGTAAAAAAAAATTTCTTGATGTTTAATTCGGGCCGTGTGGCCCGGTGGGTAATTCAGCCCGTTAAGATGGACCGGTATGGGTAAAGAGTTAAGTCCATCATATTTGGGTTGGGCTAGGTCTGCCCGTGTAAATGGACTAATAATTTGTATCAAGCTTGGCCTGGATCCTTATTGCATAGGTCTTATTAAAGTCAGAGTATGTAGCAATAATTTGTTTGAGAAGAGAGTTTTGAGGGAAAAAATTATCCAAATGACATTGATAAAATTTAGCATTTATAAGCGTATAATTTTAACGTGATCCTAAGTTCTATATTCATTTTATAGACCTCAGTACATTTATATAAAAAAATGGGTCTTTTGCAAAAAAAAAAAAGAAAGATTGTCCGCTTATGAGAAGTATGATGAAACACATGAGAAGATCCATGTTTCACATGTGGATCTTAGGAGTACGGAAAAACAACTCTTATTTATTATCTCAATAATCGGATGTTATATGGAGTAAAAGAGTTAGACCTGGTAAAAAATGACCCGACCTGTTTTTGACCCGAGATCCGACACGAAAATACTGGGTTTTGAACAAAGGTTTTCCTCACCGAACCCGAAGTTGACCGAGCCCGAAATGACCCGCTAAAAATGAGTCAAACCCGACCGAACCCGAATCCGACCTGACCGACCCGCTAATCTAAGATTTTTTCAGAATCATATATTTTAATATGAACTATAGTGTTATAAAAAGTAGATTATAATTATATTTCTTGGCTTACTACTCATTTTTTGTGTATAGATTTCTACCGTAATAACAAATTTTAATGATGTCGTATAATTATCTTACATTTTTTAAAATATCTTCATATTTAATATTTTTATTCGTAATATTGACACTAAGCCATAAAATTTTTTTAAAATTTCAAAAAATAAATGAAACTCATAACCCGTTGGGTCAACCCGAACCCGATGATACTGGGTCATGAACATGTAGTTATCAATACGAACCCGAACTTATCCGAACCCGAAGTAACCCGAACCCAAGGTGACCGAACCCGAACCCGACCCGATCGACCGATTTGCCAGGTCTAAAAAGAGTACATGTTAACAATGTACCTGTTCAGGTGGATTTGTTAAGTTTGACTTTTTCGAATCAAACAAGATGATCTTTAAGTGTTAGTTAAGCAAAAATTGTAATATATATTAGTGTAAAATTGATTTTATTAGATTTATCATATTAGAAACTTTTAAATCTTATTTCGTTTTACTAATATTCCATATGTATTAAGAGTACTTGAAGTTTAAAATTATCTAAAGCCAAACCAGACAAATACAATGTGCAACGGATATATCATACTTCCTCTGTCCCATTTTAAATTGCTTATTTGCTTTTTTTCTCCGTCCCAAAATAAGTTACATATTACTCCGTACTTGTTATTGTAAACTCTTAAGAGAAATACCTAAACAACCTCTAAAATAAGTCACTCTTCTCCACTTTATCTTCACACACATTGTTATCCCTCCTAAAAAGTAATGAGAATATCGTAAAATTAACTCTATTTTTTCTTTTCCTTAAATATGCCTGATGGTGTAAATTACCTAACCGGGTAAACTATACTAGACAAGGTCTAGAATGGTTTACTTGATTCGATAAAGTAAGAAGGTAAAAACACGCAAAGTGACCGGGAGGACTGTAGGTGGAAACACCTGTAGCCCAATCAATATTATAACAGAGAATGCACGGGCACTTTTACAAGGGAGTTTGAGACAATGAACTCGGATCCCTTCCTTCGAAGGTTACAAGAGTATTTATACTAAGGTCCAGGGGAAAAGTATCGTGCACCCACGTCGAAGCACATTCTTGGATGGTGGGAGGTGATAGGCCTTCGTCTTCTAGTGGTCTTGTCGCCTAGTGAGGGAGATTGCTCTATTGTCACGTAGTGCTTTGGATGGAATGTCCGAGTATCTCCAACGGTTCTCCACCGATATTGGTCGCTACGCTCCAAACCTCTTTGGATTCCTTTCTGCCGACGTTTTCCAACCCTAGAAACTACACCGGGTAATCTTCTGAGGGATAAGATTATCAAAATTAGGGAATGAATGAGGCGATAAAGTAGTTTGACCGGTACACTATCCGAAATGCACCGGTCAAAACTCTGGCCGACCAGGTACCCTTTCTTCGGCGATTGAGGTCTCCCTTTCAAGAAATGCAACTAGACCGATCAAACATTTGTGCACTTCCTTTGACCGGTCTTGGGTGGATTACACCCATCAATAAGCCCTCCACTTCTCGGTCATGTCAAATATCATGGGTGGGAAGTAAAATTCTGAGAAATGGGTCCGAAATTTGAATTTTCTACCTTTTCCCGCCTAAATATTTCAAATTTTGAATTTTGAAGGGCCTGTTTTGACACGTGTTGCGTGCTGGCCATGGCAGCAGTCGCGCCCCTCCGTCTCTCCATGCGTCATGATTGCGCCGCCTGACGCGGCGTGTTCTGCAGAGGCCACGTCGCCTCTTTTGGCTTTCTCCCTCCTATGTAAAGACCTTCAACCCTCTTCATTTCTCACTTTTCGCAACTTGAATCTCCAGAGCATCCACCGGTCAAGTTTCCTTTTTTCGCTTTCCAGCCCTCCGAGTCAAGTAAGCTTCCCTTTCTCTTCTTTAAATTCTTTCCCGATTATGCATGTCTTCCGTAGGTAGCGATAGGGCTTTGTCCTCAGATGACTCTTCATCTGAGGGCTCCACCTCAGCTTCTTCGACCGGGTCTTTTCCTTTTGACTCCGTACCCGGTCAAGTTCCCAACCCTTCTGTCCCTGTGCCGCAGTCTGTCAACCAGGTCCCACTGTCGGTGCAAAAAATGATGGTGTAAATTACCTAACCGGGTAAACTATACTAGACCGGGTCTAGGAATGGTTTACTTGATTCGATAAAGTAAGAAGGTAAAAACACGCAAAGTGACCGGGAGGACTGTAGGTGGAAACACCTGTAGCCCAATCTATATTATAACAAAGAATGCACGGGCACTTTGATACAGATAGTTAATTAGAATATTTTAATTAGTTATATTATTATTTAGTAGTTAATTATTATTATTTATCAGTCTTTTATAGATTAGGGTTTTTGTATGGGCCCGAACCCATTAGGTCATGTAGGTGTGGCGTCTCATTTCTATATATTGTAATCCCATTTTATTTTCATTCAATCAATCAATAATCAAAAATTCTCTTAATCCCTCGTCTCTCTTCTCTTGGAGCTCGGAAACGCTCGAAGTTTTTCATCTCTCTTTGCCTCCCCTTTCTTGGAGCTTGAAGAACGCTCGAAGTTTTTCCGTATCCGATACGATATTCGTATCAATTGGTGCTCTCGTTGAGAGAACTTGCCACAAAAAAAACAAAAAAAAATTCATCTGAGAATCACAAAGTAGCACCGTAGAGAGAGTCATATCATGGCCATCACAACAAAAATTGAGAAGAGTTGCAACTTTATTTTGAGTTGACCGCACCGGGTTACAGAGCAAATCTGATCAAAATTCCTGTGTGCTTTGATTTGCAGAACGGCAGGCACGATCGGAAAAAAAGGAGACTTGCTGCAATTTTGGAGCGGCGCACAGTAAATTGAGATACTGGAGCCCTTTTTGATGATTTGGTGCGGTCCACTAATTTATGCATAAAAGGGAATTTCCCTTCAACTGCAAAAGTTCTCCACTCAGATTTTTGAATATTGTTTCCCCTCACTAATTTGGTTGTCAAAATTTCATCACTAATCGCCAGACACAATTGTGGATCCAATATTTGCTCCAGTTTCTTAAGGTAATTACGATAATTTTGGAGCATTTTTGTGATATTTTTGTGTGGTGGTGTTAATTTTGATAATGGAGTATGCGTTGGACGGCATTTTTGGTTTGCTAGAGAAGGTTCTTTATGGAGAAATTGAGTATGATGAAGGGGTGTGTTTGATTTTTGATCAAGTATATGAAATTATTACGAAGCTCAGGTCGGTCCGTCATTTTGAAGGTCAAATTGATTATGATGCGCTCGATGTAGATATTTTTTGCTCGGTACAGGATTTGGTTCGTGGACCTCCAATTTTGTCAAGTCAAATTCCTTTTGAGTTACAAATTTTTAGAGCACATATTATCGGTATTATACGGAAAGTGACAGACACTCCGCTTTCTCCACCAACGTTGCCCCCCAAAATGTGACGGAACCAAACCCATGCAGTGGTTAGCTACGGTATGTGAGTATTTCCAGTTTTATGACGTCCCTTTAGTTGATCGTTTGAACCGTGTGACATCAATGTTAGAGGGCTCTCTATTGGCTTGGTTTAATTGGCGTATGCGTGGCGGCTTAATTGATGGTTGGGAGGATTTTGTGGAAAAGTTCAAGATTCGATTTGCTCCCTTACATGCTTTGGATTATATTTCTTTGGCGAAGACATCAGAAAAGGCTAGAGACACATTTGTCTACATGAAGAAAGATCCTATCGCATTCTCCGCCCGGACTGTGGAGGGCATTGATGAGTCAAAAGGATCAAGTACGAGGTTTCATATCAAAGACGATGATTATAGCGGGTCTGGCATCATTGGCGGGGGTGGTGGTGCCCTTGATGCAGATTATGGTGCTAATATTGAGCGTGACGAGCCATCAAACAAATTAGATTCTACTCGCTGTGAATTATATGTGCCACTAAACGCCTCAGTTGGGATGACAATTGCAGAGTATGACGCTCTAGCAAGTATCACGAATGTGGCACATGCAGATAAGAAGCAAGTGGACAACCTCATTTCATTTGATGACACCATTAAGATGTTTGACCTTGTCGATGTGGTCAAGACGGAGCACCTGGTTTCACCGAGAGCAACTACATATGGTATGCGCCCCGTCTCCTTTTTTCACCACTTTTCTGCAAGAGCCAAGCTGGTTGACGATTCAAAGAGTGGACTGCTCCTTTGGTTCAACATTCTGTCTCCGGTCCTAAAGCACGAGTCGGAGCCTCCACCTTGAGGACAAGGTAGTTTTAAGGGGGTGGGAATGATACAGATAGTTAATTAAAATTTTTTAATTAGTTATATTATTATTTAATTAGTATTTATTTATTATTATTTATCAGTATTTTATAGATTAGGGTTTTTGTATGGGCCCGAACCTATTAGGTCATGTAGGTATGGCGTATCATCTCTATATATTGTAATCCCGTTTTATTTTCATTCAATCAATCAATAATAAAAAATTCTCTTAATCCCTCGTCTCTCTTCTCTTGGAGCTCAGAAACGCTCGAAGTTTTCCATCTCTCTTTCCCTCCCCTTTTTTGGAGGTTGAAGAACGCTCGAAGTTCTTCCCTATCCGATACGATATTCGTATCACACTTTTACAAGGGAGTTTAGAGAGAATTAATTCGGATCCCTTCCTTCGAAGATTACAGTAGTATTTATACTAAGGTCCATGGGACAAAGTGTCGTGCACCCACGTCGAAGCACGTTCTTTGATGGTGGGAGGTGATAGGCCTTCGTCTTCTAGTGGTCTTGTCGCCTAGTGAGGGAGATTGCTCTATTGTCACGTAGTGCTTTGGATGGAATGTCCGAATATCTCCAACGATTCTCCACCGATCTTGGTCGCTACGGTCCAAACCTCTTTGGATTTCTTTCTGCCGACGTTTTCCAACCCTAGAAACTACACCGGGTAATCTCCTGAGGGATAAGATTATAGGGAATGAATGAGGCGATAAATTAGTTTGACCGGTACACTATCCGAAATGCATCGGTCAAAACTCTGGCCGGTCAAACATTTGGGTACCCTTTCTTCGGCGATTGAGGTCTCCCTTTCAAGAAATGCAACTAGACCGGTCAAACATTTGGGCACTTCCTTTGACCGGTCTTGGGTGGATTACACCCATCAATGCCTAAAAATCAAAACAGACGATTTAAAATAGGACGGAGGGAGTAATTAACATTGGCATGGGTAGCCAGAGGGTGTGCAAAGTGGTCAATCGTACAAGGTATTAAAAATTTTAGGGCCCCATATTTTAAAATTCATCATTAATTTTCAAACATAAATTCTATACTAATAAAATATGACCCAAAACATAAAGTTCAGTCTAGACCAATTTTATTTTATCATTTTTTGAGGCCGGCCTGAACATTGACAACAACTAATTCAATTCACTCTTTGGAGGCTTGGGGCAAAAGTCTTCACAGTCTTCCTTGGTGGGATAACACTGATCTAGAAAGCAACACCAACAATTCGGTGGCCCATCATAACATTTATGCACACAATATGAAGGAATATTAAGCTTCACATCGTCGCCTCTTGAAACCCTGCCTGTTTAAGAATTAAAAAAAATCATGCATGAAGATATTTGATAAAGAGAAAAAAATTAAACTAAGACTAAACACGTGAATAAAATTATTAAATAAGAGCTACTTGTCAATATATTATAACAAGACATATAGTGGAATGTCACCATATAATGTCGCACTTTTAAATTTCTATTTCAGAGATAAAAAACATAAAATCTTGTTTTGAGAAAAGATAATATGTTTTACTTCAAAAAAAATGAATTTTTTCATAGCGCAACAGATGGCATATGTGTGAATGAGAAAGACGACAAAAGCGAGTTAGAGAACATTATACTTACCGTTAGAGGAATTAAAGAGAACTGAAATTGTGAGACACAAGATAAGTAAATATTTGAAGACAGTCATTTTATAAGCTCTTTTTTTAGACAACTAATGGGTTGTGATTTTGAGTGTGAACAATGAACAATTTGAATGAATTTATATGTTTCAACCAATTCTATAATAGGTAAAGTTTATAATAAAGATCGAAGTGAGTAAATAGCTAATTAACTATAACTGGAATCAAATTTATTGCATGCCGAGTATAATGCACCCAAAAAAATCAACTATATACTCCGTATATCATCAATTTTGGTATCATATCGGTCTTTAAAGCATTTGCAATGGCCAACGAGACATTGCCTCGCCCTATTCCATTATCTGTCATATCAATATACTCCCTCCGTACTCCCCATTTTGATTTGGGACAAAAATAAGGAAGTGTTAAATTATAGGTGATTTCTAATTTTGTCCCTGATGTGATGGGTAAAAGTAAAATGTGATGGATAGATTATTAGAGAAAAAGTATGATGTGAAAGTGTTTTTTAAAAAGTAGGATATGAAAAAATGAGGGTAAAAATGGTTTTTTAATAGAAAGTGGAAGTGTTTTGTTGGAAGTGAAAAAAATGAAAGAGGAAGTGTTTTTGTGAACGGAGGGAGTATTTTTTTCCTTAATAGTTCCACTTTAAAATATCTACTGATGAAATTTAGCCCAACAACTATAACGTGTAAATAGTTTTGAAAGGAGTAAGGACTCTTATATCTTTGACTCTTTGTATTAGCTTTTTTTCGCATGTCTTTTGAAGGAGGGGACCACCTATCTACACACTACTTCTACTGTATACAACAATACAAGGCATGTAACATTTCGTGCGCTATATTATTGGCAATTCGTTTATTGTGCGTCAATAGAGATTTCAGTCATCAACCCCTCAATTCCACGATCTTGGGGATTCCATCTCAGCTCATTTGGGTATTGGGTCAAACTCGTCATCCCAGCACACTTTTGGGCCCTGCCTCCACGTCTGCAACCAAACTTATTTAGTTATTGGACCATTGAATTGCAATTGGGCCGCCCTTGTCTGATCACTGGACCGGATATCCATCACCTTCTATGTTATTGTTCTTTCGTTTTACATATTCGTCTCTTTTATATTATTTCTCATTTTTATTAAAAATTTAAATAAATTTAATAAAAGTATATATTTATTTTAATAAAAACAGATAAATAACTATAAAAAATTAAAAAGGATTGCAACAATTAAAAACTCAAATAATAAACGAATACTACATTAAAATTACAACATATGTAGTACTACATTAGAAACAAAGGGAAAATTTAACATACTTAAGGTTTAAATTAAAATTATAAATACTTTAAAATTAAGGCCCAAAGATTTTATAATTTAACACAAAGTCAAACTAGACAAATATGAATATATGATTACTCATGCATGTTCGTCCCTTCCCACATCGGCTATAACTACTCTTATATTATGTTTCTAATTTTAAACGGCCAACCAAATTACCGCGCACAATGGTGTTGCCTTCAATTTTAAACTAAAGTGCATTGGCATTGGGCAAAGTAGATCCACTGCGTGAGGTGCTCAAGGTTCAGAATGCGTGAGGTGCTCAAGGTTCAGAATAATGATACTTTTAAAAATCATTCGATAAATTTTCGTATTTGGCATGGTCAGCCCCAAAGCTGTGCACCCACACCAAGCCTCCAAATTTATGGGGTTCTATATACTTAGATATTTTCCATCTAAATTTTTTAACCCAAACATATAGTGATAGACTTATATATTATAGACTATGGTTGATCTTGCCTCTTTTATTATAAATTTGAAATATTAAAAAATATGACTAGTATTTGAAAAAACATTAAGTAGTGGTAATATATATGTATGAGTATGTTGATCGGGTCGTTGACCCGAGTTGACCCCGACCCAACCAGTTAGTCCTTGACCCAGTAAATTATCCGAGTTGATGTTCGATCTGATTTTCAAAATATTAGGCAGAAGAGGAGAAAATATTTGAAGTTAGTAGTAGTAGTAGCCGTTGTTAATTACGTATGATTGGTACATTAATGCACGTTTCCTTTCCCTTCCCGTTCAATGTGCTTGTTTTACTTACGGGGAGACACACACTTACCATATAATGATATATCATAATATTTTTTGAAAATATATGTTGGTATTATTGATATTATATGTCATATTTTATACACAAAAAGATGAAGGTCCATTTTTGGTCTCCTTGCTATATTTTAGTCTTATTTGGTCCTTTTAACTATTTCAACTAGACTGAGTCATCTTAAGGTTTATTAATGAGAATTTTTTTAGTCTCCACCGTTTGCCTGATTTCAAGAACTATATTAAATTCTAGAATAATACTTGGGAAATCTCACTTGGGCTACACAAAGTATACACTAAGGTACAAATAGGGACACAGAGACACTTATGCTTGTGCATGCTCACACATTAAGTGTTTGTGTGTGCCTATTTGTCCCATGTTGTACCCCAAATGGGGTTCTCTAGCACTTCCCTAAATACTAAGTCAATTCCAAATGTTTTAAATTTTAAAATCCGTATCATATTTTTAGATTTTAGAATTTATATCATGCTAGTAGTTTGCTCACCTAAGTGGTCTTATATAGCGGGTGAGAGTAAGTATATTTCTTTGCGTTTAAAACCACTCTTACGGCCTGTTTACTTTTTTTGTGAATTTTGGAGGTATGATAAAAAATAAATTTTAAAATCTAGAATATATTTTCACTACTAGAATATGGGTTATTAGCTGCAAAAAATTAGCAAGGGTCACGAGCCGTCCTAAATTTACGTGGGCTTACCCGACACAAACGAATTATTTACTCGAAAAAATGTTTCTGTCCGCTTGCCCTTCACTAATATGAAAATTAAAAAATAAATGTGATTATTTACTTGCCAGCGTTATTTACTATCTTTCTTCCCTCACATCAAACCTAGCGGAAAAACTACGCATCGAGTATTGTTCATCGCAACTCCTTGGATCGTCATTACCATCGATTTCCTTGTTCGTTTTCTATGATTTTTGGTGATGTAGTTTCGTATTCAACGGGAGAACAAGATTCTAAGCTCGATTTTGTTGATTCGTGGCTGGATTTGGTAGAATCGAAGGTCAATAACCCCCTCGCAGGTACTATTCTTCGTTGAATCTGCAGGTCTGAATTCACCGCCATTTTTTCTAAAATTAAGCTTGATTGGTGTCTTCTTAAGATTCTAGTGTTGGTTTGTCAATTCAATCAACGAATTTTATGATTTGGGCAAATCTTTTTTTTTTTTTTGACAAAAAAATATAGGTACATGTAAAAAATACGGAGTATTACATTTTAATTTAAATTTCAATTATTTTCCTCTGTATTTTCTAGCACAACCAAACAATAAAAACGATATCCATTGGTTTTTTCTATTTTGCACCTGTTTCATACAAAAACCTAAAAATAATAAAGAGAAGGTATCTTTTATACTGAGAGTGCTCATATCCAGGTTTTTGCTTGTTTCCTTCCAATTTGTTGGTGCATTTTGACCGGTTTTAGTGGTGTTTCGTCATCTTGGTTGGATTTTCAATTCATTTAACTAGTATTGAATCATCTGAAGCCTTAGTTCATACTTTATTGTTTGTTGTTATTCATTCTTGTGGAACTTGTGCCTTTGTTTTGCACTACTGCTTTGTTTCCCTTGCCTTTTATGCACTGTCTGATTATGGGGGGTAAGGAGAAGAAGAACACAAGTAGAAAGAGCTACCAAAATATCACCAACTTTGTGTTTGAGGGAACACCTCTTAGCGAGACTTCTAAACATAAATGTGTTTCTAGAGGTGCTGAACTTAATAAGGGAACCTATAGCCCATGACATTTTTTAATATTGTGGTACAACATAGGATCGGATCACTTGTGACAACACTCTGGGCGTGGCATTCTAGAGCTCCGATAATGGCTTCTTCAATTATGACTAAGCATTATTTTGCTTAAATTGCCTCTATTGGTAACTCAAAGCTCCCTTCAGGTACAAAGGCCTCACATCTATCTCTCTCTCCAAATGGAAGATTAAGATTTTTTTCTTTGTGATTGGTGGGTCATTTCACATTTGGTAAGCCTGATCTTGGAAGAGTTCAAATAACTATTGAAAGGATAGGTTTTTAATTTGGATTATTTGTGATTCTTTCTTTTGATTTGTATATTTTAATTATCTCCTTTTCTGAATTTTTTTCTTAGGTGTTCGTGTCTATAGAGGAAAAGAATCCAACACTGGCCTCATCTTTTGTTGCTTCTGCCATAACAGTCTTTGACCATCTGAGAGGTAAGGAAGGTACCAATAGCTCTCTACTTTCTGATCCTATGGTGGCTAATGTTAATTTTCTTTTTACTATTGAATCTAATCAAGTTGGTGCTCTTATTTTTAATACTAGTGTTGTAAATGTGAATGATTCTACTATTTATTTTGTTGTTTCCCCTCATGTTAATCATACTTTTGCTAGCACTAGTGATTCTACAGATACCATCGTTACTTCCCTTGTTGATCATATTTTTGCTACCCATCATGTTAATGTTAGTATTCCTGCTAGCACTATTGTTCTTACTGATGCTATAGTTATTGCCCTGTTTGATACTGCAGCTACTACACTTCTTACCCCTCTTGTTAATGTTAGTGCTTTTGTTGAACCGGTGAAGACTAGATCTCGAAGACAGAGGAGTGGTGGTTCACAAAGGAGACACAAGGGATAGACTCCATAAAAACTAGAAGCCAATCCACAAGAAACAATACAATCAACTTTGGAGGCCAAAAGCGAGGAAGACGTTATAGTAACTTTAGAAGTAACTAATAATATTGAAGGTCAATATTGAATCTCTCTCGTTGTAAGAGTTCGGCCTTTTAGAATTTGAGTTTTTTCGATTTCTTGGTCCTCTTGTTGGGGTATGGACCTCCCCATAAAGCCCACACTCTTTGTACTTTTGTTTTAAATAATAACATTTTCTTAAAAAATGTCTTATTTTTATGTTTTGTTATGTGATGAATGACTTTAAATCTACGATTTTGTTTAGAACGTGTATTTGTCATATGTTAAAACCCATTGGAAAGATAAATATTTTACAAGTAGAAAATTATCCATTAATGTTTTTTATTTAAAAAATAATAATTGTGTGGGTTTAGCCCTCGCTAGTTTTCCTTTTTTAAAAGTAGTAGTGAGGGTTAATCCCTTGAAAGTTTGCGAGAACCTGGCCGACGCAAATTATCGAGGAACTGGCCGACGCAAATTATTGAGGGCTTGGCCGACGCAACTTATCGAGGAACTGGCCGACACTACCATTTGCATCGAGCAGATTAGTCACGCCAACTGTGCCGACGCAAGTCTGACGCAAAACATGAATTTGCGTCGGCTTTTACCCTTTTGTGAGGGCTTTTGACCCACGCAAAATCAACATATTCTAGTAGTGTTTATGAGTTTTGAATGTGAAACAAAAATATTTGTGAGGATTTTTAAACCATTGTGTTATTTGTGTAATTACTGATATGCGGAGGTGAATGGCAATATGGGTGATTGGCGGTGACAATGGTAGTCAATTGCCTAAAATGATCAATGCATAAGAAACATATATCGAAACCCTACATTGGTATATCTCAAATTCAAAAGATATCAAAATCCTTCGAAAGTTTTTAAAATCATATACCTTAATCACTGTTCCCTCACAAAATTAATGTCTTTGTAACTATCACAAATTCTCGATATTTTTTGTTTGTATATTTCCATCGATCATTTCCACTTTTTTTTACAAAAAAACCTATTTATAATTAAATAGTAATATACATTACATATTTTACTTAATCAAGGTCCAAAGATTGTTCAATTTAACATAAAGTCAAACTAACAAATATGAGTACATGATTACTCATGTATGCATGTTCGTCCCTTCCCACATCGCCTATAACTACTCTTTTATTTTGTTTCTAATTTTAAACGGCCAACCCGATTATCAAGCACAATTTCAAACTAAAGTGCATTGGCATTGGGACTTGAGGTGCTCAAGATTCAAATTAATAATTCTTTCAAAAATTATATCACCTTTTGTAAGAGTCATCAATCTGAACTAATTTTTTTAGTCATAGAAAAATCAAAATGATTTGATAAATTTTCATGGCATGGTCAGCCTCAAGGGTGTGCAAGAATAGTGATTGATAACGTGGAAGTGTAATTATATATATATATATATATATATATATATATATATATATATATATATATATATATATATATATATATATATATATATTTA